AATTAGTTATCTACATGCATTCTACAGGAAGGACAACAGGGAAACAACCAAGCACAGAAAAATCACTTCAAAGGTAAACAAGCATGCGAAAGTCTCCTGGAACTGAATGAATTCCTACAGGTGATAAATTCAGAAATTGAGCTACCGAGAGTCAGATGCCTCCAATGGGGCTTTGTATGATTGAATTTATTCACCATTTATTCAATAAGCCATAGTTTCCTTAAACATAATTTGTTGAATTAGCCATAAGTGGCTGGAAAAATGTGAAACACAGCAAATTCTGCATCTCTAATAGGGTGCTGGGATTGCTAGTGTATCCACAGATGCCTCTCTGCTTTCAAAATCAGGCCATATTTGTTTAAAAAAATGTTAATAATCAGAAAATTTCCCTAAAGTAAAACTTTACTTCCAATAATGCTCCTGGACCCTTGATATATTCTTATATTAAAAAATGCTATAGAATTAAAGCCTAGTGTTTTATTAAGAACCTTGTTCGCCTATTGAGTGAGGTGGGATAATAGCGGAAATTGCGAGCGAGAATCTTGCAGATTTAGGGAAGGAACCTTACCAATGTTTTCCTCTGGTAAGTATGTTTCATGGATGACATGATCACGAGAATGCCCATAACAAATTCCACAAATTCCATACGTGGCCACTCATCTCTAAAGTTGAAGACTCCGGTACTAAACTATAAACTATGGTTTACAAACTACATTGGTTTGGTCCTTACTACACAGAAACCCCTAATCAGCCACACACATTCTAAGTTAGTACAATATGTGTTATCCACTGTTTTAGAATGATAAAGAAATCAAGATTGTCAACTTCACGAATGAAGGCAAATATCCGTGTTCCAGGATAATGATGCAAGGTTGAATCTGGGTCAGTCACCCAGACCAGAGATTTCAGACTCATGCTGGAGCTAATCTTCAGGGAACTTCTCTCTGTTGGAATACCTGCTTTGGACTATTCTGTGCATCATACCTATGTGGTGCCTTCCTATTGGCTTAGGAAAGCACCAGATAAACACAACTTTCTAATCTTGATTGCAGGAAAAACGATTTCAGCAATAGAGTAGTAAATGTGTGGAACACNGAACAAAACATGAAATAAATAATTCAGACGACACAGTATTAAATTAGGGGGAGGGGAAATTATTTGTATGAAAATATAAAGTTGGGATTGCTGAAACGCCACCCCAAGAACCCATCAGAGAAAATAAATAAGTAAGGGCAACAACGGAAAGGAGGGGGGATGAGGAGGGAAAAGAAGAAAGGATAAAGCAGAGAAAATAAGGGTGGGGAATTAAGAATAGGAGAGAGGGTAAGAAAGAGGAGAAGGGTAGAGGAGTGGGGAAAGAGAGGGGAAGAAGAAAGGAGACGAGGAAAGAAGAAAGTAGAGAAGAGAGGTTGAGAAGATGGAAGGAGTAAGGTTGTTGCAAAATAAGATGGAGGCACGGAGTAGCAAGAAAGTGACCCAAACTGTATTATATATGTGTGTGTAAAAATGAGTATACAGTCTAATGATGAACAGACAAATGTTAAATAACAATTATAAGAATATATATCTATGAATGAATTTGAAAGGGAAAAATAAAATTTCAAAAAAACCTAACTGCACATGCAGCCACTTTAAAGACAGCAATTCCAGTCCTGGAGAGATATTCTAGGGAGGTTTCATATTTTCTCCTGTTATGCTTTCCTAATTCAGATATGTTGCAGGTGGAAGAATTCAGTCTGATAGATTACATAAAGAAATAACTTCTTTCTTGGGCATTGGGATCTGCCTGTTTCCCCGCACCTTCGCTTCCCCTACTCCCAGAGGACTTTTGGATCAGAGATCTCTTGCTGCATCTTCTCAACTTTTGAGCAGTTAATAAAAAATCTAAAATTCCCAATCTCCATTATATTTTGCATTAAGAAAGAAGGAACCAGTTGCTTTCATTTTCTTTGAATTTTGATTGAAAAATGAAAATTCTGATAAAATCTTACTTTAATTTCTTCCCCAATTGTGACATATGGTAACATTGTAAAGTAATTCCTTAAGTATATGTCTTACTTAAAGGCTGGAAGTGGCATAAGAAATCTACAGAAAAGAATGGTATTGTTGTAGCTTATTAACATTTTCAATGGAAATGCAGTCTAAAAAAGCTAATCAGGATCTGACCTGTTAATAGTTGAGATTGCCTTCACATATCAGGATTTTAAACAAAATTAGGAAATTGAGAAAATGTCTTTGAATGGACAAATACCAAGGGCCAAAAAACCCTATATAGATGTCTCTATATTATTGTATGGAGTTTATATTCAAAATGTTTACACGTGGGTGTGCGCGCGTGTGTGTGGCAGAGATTTGGAACTGAATGTAGTAACAATATCATTTATTAAGGACTACAGATGGCCCTTATTTAACTACTACTTGTCCAGTAACTTTTCAAACTTATTGTGGTGCTAAATGAGCAATAGTTATGATTGGTCCTGAAAGTTTTGACTTTCACAGTACCTCTGCGGCCATATGATTGCAATTCATAACTTCTCTGCTGGCATCTCAGTCATAAGTAAAGTCAATGGTGAAGCCAGCAGGAAGTCACAAGTTGTGGTCCTGTCTTTGCTTAATAATGGTCATTATGGAACTGCAGGAACTGCCAATGCTAAATGGTGCAGTCAGGTTTGCAACTCTGTTGTTTAAGGATAAATTTTCTGGTCCCAAATAGCATCCTTGGGAAAGGACTACCTATAGAGATTTTACGTACTGTATCTGTACATTTAACATAAAATAAAGATGTTGCCCTTGTTTTTTTCACATTTTTCTTTCTCTTTCCTGCTCAAAGAGCAGTCTTTGGTTCTATGTTTTCCCCAATATTTTATTTTTAAAAATTGTGGTGGAGACATCTGAGGCTCTTGGAACAGAACCTTGAGGTAGGTTGCAAGCTAGGCTTGGGTAACATGGTATAGTTGAGGGAGATCAGGGAAAATATTTGCTAATATGTCGCAAAAGTTGTATTACATTAGCTGATGAAAAAGCCTCAACAGTATAAAAGTGAAGTGCATTCCTAAGTCTTGCCATATAGATTCATTTCTTCCCATAGGTTCCACTGCTACTCTTAGTAAAACATTCCACAATATATCCAACATGTAGGGATGAAGTGTAGCTCAATATGTGGTGTCTTGTGTTTGGTTTAAGCTCTAGTCAACCAATTAAGGCTTCAGCTTAAAAGTGGCTAATATTATCAGTAAGCAAAGACAGTATTGAGCTAGAAGGATTAGGATTATATCATTGCTTGTCATGTTCCTATTGAAATGATCCTACACTAGAATATGGGATCCTTTATTTTAAATATATATTGTTAGACTTCAAGATGTTTTGGTTTCTTAGCAAAACTTCCAATGTCATTCAACTTTCCATCCAAATTATGAGGCCAGATATAGATAAGTAGATATTTGGTATTCCATGATGACTCTTACTTCCTTTTTGACTTGGTTGTCTTTTAGATGCCTCACTTTTCCTTTGCATGTGTCTTCTCTTTATGGTTAGAAAGGATCAGCAACAGAGGAGGGCAGAATTGATGAATCTTGTATGAGATGTCCATATTGGAACCTGACTACCTCTGTCAATCAGGAACCACAACACCACTCAATCTACTATGGATATGCTGTGGTGTATTCTGTGTTCTCAATGAATCTGCATTCTTCTAGTGGCAATTATTCTTTGACATTTTAAGGGGAACATTTTATCTAAACCATATAGTAATTATATACATTCTAGATGTTTCTGCATTTTTTTTGACAGAAAATGTATAATATGCAGATGACAAGAAAATCACAAGCAGAGTGATTCCTTTTGGGGCCCCTCTAGATTTGCCAGTTGGTGTAAAGTGTTAGTGTTTGGTTTCTAAACACTCCTATTTAAATCTGTAATGAATGAGGCTGCATTCAAATGAAGTGACACTAATTAGCAGCATCCCAAGTCTACCATGTTTGTAATAAGTGCTAAGGATACTTGGCACCTTCTGTGAGGTGCCATCTTCTGCATCACTTTAGAGTCTAAATATTAAGGCAGGGAAAGATCCACTCTATCTAGATACAGCTTTATTAACTAAAACATAACGAAAGGAAATAAATATATACAAACTATAATTTATACATGTATGTATATGTAAGAGAGTGAAGTAAGTGGGGAAAAAATAGACATGACAAGGTCACATCAAATGCCTCTTTCAGTTTCTCTAACTTTACATTTCTAGAAATATATGTTTGTTGACTAGAGAGTCAAATGAAAGTTGCAGTGTTTGCACTACTGAATATATCCAGCATTAAAATTAATAGTCTTATTGTTAACAGACTCTAAATTTCAATCTAGTTTTTGTACAAAGTAGGGAAAAAAGTTTGAAAATGGCATGTAGTACAGATATACAGCTTTGTAGGTTTTATGGAATCCAGTTGTTAAGGTATTTAGCTGCACACATAGTGGCTGAAGTCTAAACAGATATTATCACTATTTATAGAACTGTTCTAATTCTGATTATACACAGTAGTTTTGTTAAGCAACAGTATATAAAATATTTGTCTCTTTCTATTTAAATTAGAGCTTTGGGTAATAACACAAGAAAACTTGTAGTTGTAGGGATAAAAGGATAGTCAAAGGATAATAAAAAACAAATAATCATAAGAGTGAATATATGGGTACTCTATATAATTTTTATAAACTTAGTTACTGTATCAGCCACTGCTATTTACAACAGACTCTCTGAATTTATGAGGAAAAGATTTTTCTTCAGTCATGAAATTATGCCATATACAATCATTCTGTTCTTTGCTTCACTAAAGCTGCTTGGTGTAATGGAGCTTAGAATAAACGGAAACAGGAGACACTTAAAATGTTTTATTGGAAGAGGCTTATCCTAAGTGTGAAGTTGATACCTGCCCAAAGAGGCTTTAAGAACAAGAGAGATGGATAAGATGAAAGATGTCAAATTATTATTGATTCTTTTTCACTTGCAGAGCAATGGCAAAGGCAAGGACTGTGTCTTCACCGAGATTGTGCTGGAGAACAATTACACAGCATTACAAAATGCAAAATACGAAGGATGGTACATGGCCTTCACCCGGAAGGGACGTCCCCGCAAAGGCTCCAAGACTCGTCAACATCAGCGTGAGGTGCACTTCATGAAGCGGCTGCCCAAAGGCCACCAAACCACAGAGCCTCATAGACGCTTCGAATTTCTCAATTACCCTTTCAATCGAAGGAGCAAAAGGACTCGAAACTCCAGCCCAAAGCCATCACCCTGACCTGCCTCACCTTGTCCCACTCAGCACCACTTTCCTTGGCTGGAGGACATTGTGCAGAGACTCAGTTGATGGACAATAACTAGAGACTTACCTATGACGATGGCTATAAAAGGGGATTGGAAGAAGAAGGGGAACAAAACTTGATTTAGTTGTTTATAATTGTTCTGTGTTTTTTTTAAAAAAAACAAAGAGGCTCTATTTTTGTATTCCAGCTTTAATGCTTTTTTTAAAAGAAAAAGCAGTATAATGTTTAAATACTCATGGAAGGTTGCTCTTCACTTAGGAAGATTTTGAGTTCTTTGGGAGGGGGCATGTATTATGTTTTGTTAGATTGGTTTTTAACTTGGGGTAGGGATTGGTAGGAGGTAGTTGATCTAGGCATAAGCATAGAACATGCCCTCTTCAATAAATCATACACTTGGGACCAAATTTCTACCTCAGATAAGATAAGTAACTTAAGAGGATGGAGTCCATCCCCAATTCTTTGTACTAGGGGCTTATTTTGATGCATTTGTGAAATGTCTCTGATACTTGCAGACAGTAATCTTCCTTGAAGTCAAATTTGTTTAAATAAGTCTTTTAGGTCCTACCCAGATGGGACATGTTCATCATTTTCATTTTTTGTGTAATAGAGAAGAGATGATGAAAACGTAGTGACTGCCCTTGCTGAAGGAGATGCTAAGGGCATTGATATGCTTTGTTCTTTCAATGCTAATCATTTTTCCAAAGGTTTGAATTAAAAAAAAAACCCCATGGATATTTTTTTTGTATTTGTTGTTCTGTCAGTAAAGTGTTGATAAGTTAAAAATGATATTTCACCTATTACATTTCCATTTCTAAGGATATCTCAGGGCCATCAGAATATTTTCAGACCCTAGGTAATCCAAAGAACAAAAGAAGCCTTCTTCCGAAGGTTGGCAACTTTTAACCTCTGATCTAAAGTCAATCCTTGAAGAATTTTTCTTAGTATTGCAATTTTGCCACTCTAGAATTTGCAATTTCATTTGTGAGCCAACTTCCCAAAAATGCTTTGAGGAAAATTAGCAACTGAATTGATTTGAGATTATTTTTGATGCCATATTATTAGCATATATCAGTTGTTCTGAACCTGTAGGTACTGATGTGTAAGTATTTGTGTGTGTGTGTGTGTGTGTGTGTGTGTGTGTGTGTGTGTGTGTGTACATCACATGAGGTTCAAGTGACATATATGTCAGCTGGAAAACTATCTAGAAACATTTTGCTGTTTTGATCATCTTTTCTAGTTGTCACTGACCAAACATAGCTATTAGATTTATAATCTATTAGTGTTATGTTTATGTTTTCATATACTGCTCTGGATTGAAGATGGATTTTTAAGGCAATAATATAAGTTGATAAGTTTTTAAAATTTTCCCTTATACATTAATTTGATTAAAACAGAGGGGGAGGGGGAATCATTTATGAGAGATATACCAAGTCCAAAGGGTTTAATTTCTCACAAACCTTTCCTGACCAAGCAAGCTTTACAACAATATTAATTTCCCACCATCCTCATGACTGTTTCATTCAGAATTTACCAAGGAACATTATTTACCATTCTGTCTTGATTAGACTTCAAATGGATTACTATGTGAGATGCTGATGTTGTCGACTTCCTTTCTGTGCCCTGGTTTAGTTCTTTATCTGGACAAAACAGATTTTGATACAGTGCTCAAACCTGCAGTGGTCTGGAAGATACGTCCTGCCTAAACAGGGATTTCAGAAGGCTTCAATAACTCTGAGGAATGAGATTCTATGTCACAAATTTTAATGGAAACATGTATTTTCAAAGGGTCATTTAAAATAACACCAATAGGAAAAAAAGTATGTTAAAAAAGAGCATGGAATCTGTGAACAACTTTGCTGTAACAGCACATCTTTTTTTTTTTTTTGGCTCCTTGAGGGCTTAAAAAAGTTTACTGTATACAAATTGAAACATGAAATTGTTGGAAATATTTATTTAATATGTGCATTAAAATTTCTACTAGTACAAATGGACTTGACGTTTTGGCTCTGTGATTTACAGTAAGGACAAGGATCTCCTAGGAGTGGAAGATGAGACTGGGGAGCAAATCTGCAAACAACTTTGTTGCGGAAAAAAAGATTCGGGCCTCCTGATTTTGGCTCTGAGGCATCATAGAAACTTGGCTGCACTTTCTGCAGACATTCTAACTATGGTTTTCCACTCAGCTGGGTAGAATTTTAATGACCCTTAAATTTTTTTAGAAGAGTGGTAAGCATCAGTGCAGGAAAATTTCAAATGCTAACTTTCAATAACTGAGAATAATACAATACAATAGCAGAGTTGGAAGGGACCTTGGAGGTCTTCTAGTCCAACCCTCTGCCTAGGCAGGAAACCCTATACCATTTCAGACAAATGGCTATCCAATATCTTCTTAAAGACTTCCAGTGTTGGGGCATTCACAACTTCTGGAGGCAAGCTGTTCCACTGATTAATTGTTCTAACTGTCAGGAAATTTCTCCTCATTTTATTAACAAATCCTTGCTGTCTGGTAATCACCCTGCTGTTTTCAAGGAGCTTAGAATATTCTAA